GTTCTTTTTAAGGTGGTTTTCTCCGTCATAGTTTTTTCTTTATTTAATTTGTTTCGTGCCTTCTGACATAATATTTCCGCCCAGAGTGTTCTTAATTTGGAATCTGATTGACGGTTTTGCTCTTGTATAATGTTTGCAATTCGCGTCTGATAAATGAGATTTTCTTCTGTCATCTTTAATTGGGAATTTTGAAGCGTAAGTTGCGTTTTCAACTTTTGCAATTCAGTTGTCAAATTTCCATTATCACCCAGCTTTAATTGTGATTCTTGGTTTGCAAGTTTCGCTTTAAGATATTGTAATTCTTTAATTAATTGTTCATTTTCTTCCTTAAGCTTTAAACGTGATTCATGATATGTAACCGACGTTATAGTTCTCAATTCATTCATCAGTTGTTCATTTTGCTTGCGTAACCTTTCATTTTCTTGAAAAATCCTAACAACATTTCCATCTTGATGTGTCTAAAATAAAAATTCTTGATTAAATCATTAAAATAAAAAATTTTAATTATATAGACGAACCTGCTGTGGTAAACCTATTGAGTGAGATGTCTGTTGTGGATAAATAATGTTGGATCCCTGTTGTGGTGAATGATATCTAAAATTGCTGTTACGTGGTGACAAATTTACCCCACTCTGAGCTCTTTGATTCGGAACTTGTACCCTTGGAATTTGTACTCTTTGATTTGGGATTTGTATCCTCTGACTTGATACTTGTACTCTCTGACTTGGTACTTGTACCCTCTGACTTGGTACTTGTACCCTCTGACTTGGTACTTGTACCCTCTGACTTGGGACTTGTACCATCTGACTCTGGGATTGCGTCATCTGACTTGGAACCTGAAATCGTTGATTTGAGGCTTGAACTTGTTGATTAAAGGTTATATTATAAGATGGAACTTGTCTTCGATCTATTTGTGCGATTTGCCTTGGGTCTAACCCTCGCGCCGGAATCCTGTTATTTGTGGCTTGTTGTGTAGCAGAAACCTATTTTATACGATATATTATTAGCTTTTGTGAATATCAAAATTTAATGCTTATATTCGGAAATTACCGGATTAGAAATTTGCGTGGGATTAGAAATTTGAGTGGGATTAGAAATTTGAGTAGGATTAGAAATTTGAGTGGGATTAGAAATTTGAGTGGGCTTAAATTCATCATCATCTATAATAACTACTTCATTCTAGATTGAAAAAAAATTGTAATAGGAAATTATCGCCAAAAAATAAAATTAAATAAATAAATAAATAATATAATATAATATAATATACGAACTAGCTTTGTTGGCTTATTAGTATTTATTTGCTGAGGACTATCAGGTGATACTGAGTCCAATTGAAGTTTTTGAATTTGCGTACAAACCATTTTCTGGCTTTCTTCGATTTGTTGTTTTTGTTGATTCAACTGTAATTCTGATCGCGAATCCGGTTTTTGTTGAACTGATTCCGAAATATTTTGTTGTGTTGTTGATTCCTGATTCATTGGTGATCCCTTATTAACAAAAAATATTAATTAAGGAAAGATTAATATTAATATAAATAAACAAATCGTAAAAAAATTTTTTTTCTCTACCGTCAATGTTTGTCCTGTGTTTAATTGTTGTGATTGTGATTGCTGAGTAGATAAATTACAATGTTTTTCCATTACATGGCTACGTAAATTTTCTGTTGATGTAAATTCATGATTACTACAATCTCGCCATTTACAATGAAATATAGAAGACTCTGGGTCCAATATTTTTATATGGGTTTCCCATAAATGTCTTATGAGTTCTCTAACATTAAATTTTTGATCACACCCATCCCAACGACATATATATAGTTGTCTTTGATATGTTGTATTATTGCTCTGAATAACTCCTTTTTGATTCGTTGAACGATGTAAAGTTGGTGGTAATATCGTTGACATTGTGTACTAAATTATTAAAAATTTATTATTCTAAATTCCCTTCTATGCAGAGCAATGAATTACTATAAAAGAATTTGAATATGTTAATGGTCATGTGATAATATCATATCGTCATCATATCTGATATGTAATATTTTTAATTAACGTTAATAATCGACATAAAAAAGATCATAAAAATGGTTATTTACCGTAAATTGTGTCAGGTTGTTTTTGTGTGATATTAAGAATTTTGGAATTTAGGGAAGGTCTGGGGGTATTTATATATAAATAAGCTGGCAATTCTAACCATTGCCTATTTTTTTTTCTGTAATACTGCACCAAATGCGCCTTTGTGCTTACCGTTACCATTACACTTAACTTATTACTTTCGTTATACATACACAATATATTCGTATTACTTTTTGTTATCATAATTACCTGTTTTTTATTTCTCTCTCTCTTTTTTTTTTTTTTTTTTTTTGCTTGATAAATAACTATGAAATTTTTTCTTGATAAAAAAACAAAAAACAAAAGATTATTTTGTTGGTTCTAAGCCGTACTTAGCAATTTATATTTTAAAGAAAAACTGATATCGTGAAAGATCTGCTAATTGTGTAACGCACAGGCATAAATATTGATTAAATAATTGGTGCTTAGATATTTGATTAACATGACACAAAAAAAAACAATTGCCAAATTTGATTAGATTATAAACAAAAAGAGTTTTATTTTAGTTAGGCTAGACTAATTTGATTCTTTGTTTAATATAATATTCAAGTTAAAATCTAAAGAAGAATTATATATAATTTGCTAAAATCTTAAATAAAATATACAAAAATATTATTCTGACTAAAATTATAAAAAATTTTTGGTTTTGGTCTAAATTATATGAAAAAAAGATTATGTTAAACAAAGAATCAAATTAGATTAGCTTTAAGAATAATTATATATAAAGTAGTATTTTTTATTAAAAATTTATTTTTATAATTTTAAAAAATTTTTTATTTATTAATAAATTTATATTTTATTTTTTAAACTATAAGTTTTTGTTAACAAATTTGTTTATATACTAAATATAAATATAGTTTAAATTTATATTTTTAATAAATTAAAATAATTTTTATTATATAATATTATTTAATTAAATAAAATTTAAAATACAACAATACAAATATATTTTTAAAATATATTTTTATAAATATTTTAAAAAAAAAACTAAATATATATTATTATTATTATTTTAAATTTTATTAGTTATATTATTATTTTTTTTTTTTTTTTTTGTAATCTTACTTATCATTTATTCAGAAAAAACTTATATAAGATACAAAGTACATTACTATCTAAAATTTAATATATAAACTAAAATAGTAAAGTACTCTCTTTTAACTATTTTGAACTCACTCAGCTACCTTAGAATACTCAAATATAATCTGCTATAATAACTATTTCTCTTGCAAAGACCTTAGTCTGCAGGTATAAATTCTAGGTTTCTAGTCTATAAGAAGCTACTACTAGCTTATATTAAGATTGATTATTTTGTTTTAATTTTAATCTACTTTTCTTTTTTACCTAATTTTATCTATCTATTAATTCTGTTTAAAGCTTCTTCTTATATTCTCGACTTTTTTTCTTTTATATCTTCTTTTTCAATATTATCAGACTTTATATTTTCCTTATTTTCTTTTTGTTATATTTTTTCTTTTTCTTTTTTCTTACTAAGATATTGTTTCTTTTTTTTTAGTTTACTATAACTTCATAATAAAACTACAAATATTTATAGAAATATTTTCAGAAAAGCTTTAAGAAATTAGTTAAGACCTTGTTTACTTTTTTTTTAAACTACATTATTCTACTTAAACTTGTTAGTTACTTGATACTTGTAAACTCTCTTAGATACATTTTTCAGTTATATAGTTTTTTTCATCTTCTATACTATAAATTACTTCTTTAAAAGGAGTTTTACTGAGAGAAAGATTTAATTTTGTTAAAATTTCTAGTCTTGTTAACTGTATAGTTTCTTTTTCTAATCTTTTTTAGATTCTTGAATATATCTTGCACTCTGATAGATAGTAGAAGGTCTTATCTTTTCTAAAATATACTATATATCTTTGATTTTTGTATAGTTTGAGATTTCTTATATAATATATATCTTTTGTAAGCAGAATCTTGTTTATATATTTTATGCAGAATATGAGTGCTTTGCATTTCTTTAGACTGATATATTTTTTCTTTATATTTTCTTAAGCAGATTTCATATAAACTTCTAATTTAGCTCTATATTCAAGCTAGAATTCTGAATTTTTTTTTTTTTAATAGTCTTATTGTTATAAAATGAGTTTCAAATATTTTATTATTTTATATTATTATTTATTTATTATTAATATTTTTATAAATAGTTAGTTTCTTAAATGTACTTTATTTATTATATCGCTTTTACAAATAATTTAGTAGTCACAGATAGATTTAGACTTTACTATTAGATCCAGCTCAGAGAGACCTTTCAAACGAGCTATAATTCATAATCATAGAATACATAGTTTTAGAGTTGTCTTAGAAACAACTTAGAAACAGTTACCATTTTTACTGTTCTTACTGTTCTTCCATTCTTACCGTTCTTACTGTTCTTACTGTTCTTACCATTCTTACCTTTTTACCATTTTTACTGTTCTTACTGTTCTTACTGTTCTTACTGTTCTTACTGTTTTTACTATTCTTATCATTTTTACTATTCTTATCATTTCTACTGTTCTTATTCTTAATTGTAAAAAGCTATATAAATCCTCTCTTTTCTCTTTGCCCCAACTTAGGTTTTGACTTCTGCAATCTCCTTAATATTAGAATTCTCTTAGCATAGAAACTAATAAATAGTCTTATATTATCGATATTATATCTTAAATAAAGTATAATCTTTGCTCATTTATTAACTTTGTAATGAACTGCCACAGTGAAGTAATATTCTACTTGGACACTGTTGAGAGCTCCTCTTCCATGTTTTATATTACTTGTGTTGAATCAAGAAGGCTGACATTTATAACATTTTGATGCCTTCTAGCAGAAAAACAAAGAAACACTTCTGGAAGAATAATTAATTAAAGAAACTTTAAAGAAGCTCTAAAAAAACTTTTCTTAAAGTTAAAAAAAACCTTTCCTTTCTCTTCTAACGATCTCTAAAGAAGTCTCTTTTTCTTCCTTTGCTGATTACAATCTACATCACACCTAGTCTATGTTATATAAACACTGAAAAAGAGATCTACAACTTTTAGAATAGATCTACATCACACTGTAGTATAAAAAAAAGAAAAATCACCTATATTGCCCCAGACTAAGGAAGATCTATTTCACATTACATGAACTTTTTATAGTTAAATTTAGGCTCAGACTATACCTATTTGATTAGAAATTAAAGCTAGTAGCTTACTGTGACCCTCAGGTTAGAAACACCTGACTTGTAGGCATAAGGACTCTAATTAAAGCTAGCAGCTTACTGTGACTCCCAAGAATAAAAACATCTAAAGGACGAGTACTTCACGAGCCAAAGTATAGACATAAGGACTCTAATAGCTAGTAGCTTACTATGAACCTTAATATAGAAAAGTTAAGCACAGATTACCTACGAGCCAAATATGTAGGCATAAGTAATTCCAAAACCTAATCCATAGTCTTAGATACCCTATGACCTAAAGTATAAGAATAAGGTATCTTACTACCTAACATATATGAACAGAGCATATCAGATATATATAGAAAGAATACAAGCATATGATTTATAACATCAAAATACAAATTAAGCATATACAGTACTTCAAACCTTAGACTTAGATTTATCTTGTCAGCTATGCTATTTAGAAACAAACCTTCACTAATCATATCGCAACTTTTGGAATTGGTATAAACAAACCTACTATACCTGATTCTATTCTCAACAAACTATAACTACATATCTAGAATTAACTAATAGCTCTATCTACTCTAAAGCTAGAGCAGCAGCACGTGATATAATATTTAGTTGCTGATATAATATTCTTATAGAAAACCCTAAAAACATTATTATTATTATTATTTTTTTTTTATTTTTTTTTTTTTTTTTACTTTATACAAATACTATCAGCTGAAACTTTTATTGATATTGATAGTGAGTAAATATTTCATATTGTGAGAGTACAACTAGCTATACGTACAACTTTAGATTGTCTAATTTAAGTAGTCCGCCTGAAGGTTCTACACTAGCTGCCATACCTGAAATCTATTTGAAGATTACCTATTTAAACATCTGGCCCTATGACACTTACTCGTATTCTATCCTTTTTTACTAAAGTTCACCTAACCCTATGCTACTTCTCTAGGAAGACACCCGAGCTGACATTAGTTCACAAACTTTATGGTTCAGAGCCTAGATCCTATCTCAAGGTATCCCTTTACTAACTCCCTAACCGATAGGGTGCTGTGATACCCAACTATGCTATGCTATATCCCAATTTAGCTTGCATATACCCTTGTTCAATGTTCATACAAATCCAGTTCCTACCATGATCTTTCACCAAGTTAGTCATCTGTGCCTTCAGATATTACACGAAGTAGATCCTCCCAAATCTGTTGCTTGGTGTTGCCTGCTTTGCTACCAAATATCATACGAGACAGATCCTCCTAAATCCAGTTAGCTGCTAAGCTAGGTTGGTGTTACTATATGACCTTGTGTAACAGACTTACTCGCATCTGTTTCATCGATCCTTCTGTACTTAGGACTTACTCGTATCTATTTTGCTGATCTTTTCGTACGCAAATTTTCTTTCTCAAATCAGACATTAACTGGTATAATTGTCAAAATCCGTACTACTTCATCTAACTCGGGATTTCTACTATGCAGGTTCCCTGCTCGTAGATTCTATTAAGATTTATTTGTGTAATATTATGCCTCGCCAAACACCTCGTCATATTTTTAATACCTGATTAATATTAGTGCAACATGATTTATAGAGTTACAACTTCAGAAACGAGGAGAGTTTACCGTAAGTTGGATA